TTTTTTTGTTTTTTTTCGTTTGTTTGTTTGAGTTTACACTGGTCTTGTGCATGCTGTCACCACTGCTGTAAGTTCATATGAGCAAGTTCACAGCCACCCGGAAAACTTTGTTTTCTTGTGGGCATCCACCACCCATGGCTCTTACAATATTTCCACACACCTCTTCCAAAATAGTCCCTGAGCCCTAGGTGGCTTAGGTTTAATATCAGAGTCCTATCCAGGGAAAAATAATCTGAGTTTCTTATGCTTTACATTTTGTTCAGTTCTAGCTTTCTATGTTAATCACCATCTGCTGCTTGAGGAACTTTCACTAATTAGTGTTGAGAGGTGCATTAACATGCTCTCTGTCCCGTTATGCTTTGTTCCCTGAGTCTTAGGGGTGGAAGTCCCATTGTAGATGTGATGTGTCACTTGGGGCTGGGAATCACAGAGACACTTAATCTCCGCATTTGACCAGTTTTAGAACTCTATAATATTTTCCATTTATTGCAAAGAGGAACTTCTGTGATGAATGTTGAGAGGTATTGTTGTAAGTCTGGATTTGGAGCTAAGATACACAAATGAAGGAGAACACACATCACTTCTTTTTCTAAACCTGTATTACTTCACTTTGCATAACATTTTCTAGTTTCATCTATCTACCTGAAAATTTCAGGATTTCATTTTTTCTTACTGCTGAGAACTTCATTTTGTAAATGTACTACATCTTCATTATCCATTCTTTAGTTGAGGGACATTAAGGTTGTTTCCATTTCTTAGCTTTTGTGAAAAGAGCAGCAACAAACATGGCTTCCCAAGTATCTCTGCAGAAAGTTGAATACTTTCATTATATGCCAAAGAGTGGTATAATCAGATTACATGGTACCTGTACCTTTAGTTTTTTAAGACTGCTCCACAGTGTTTTCCACAGTGTTTGTACCAAGTTGCAATCCTACCAGCAGTGAATATTGTTCCCCTGTCCCCACATTTTCACCAGCATCTGGTGTCATTTTTCTCTTGATCTTAGCCAGACTGGGGTAAGATGAACTATTGAAGCTGTCATGCTATGCATTTCACTAATTACTAAGGATGCTTAACATTTTAAAGGTTTTTCTTAGCCTACTGTATCCAGAGTACTGCAGTATTGGGAACCTTGAATATGGCCATAAGGTATTATGGAAAAGTCAAGAAATAATTTCTTTCTACTCAGAGTACTGTCTAAAGTTTTATGTTCTTATATTTGTTGAAAAAACGTATAAATTAATAATTCATTTTTCCACCTTTATCTACTTAAAGTAGACATGGAATGGAGCAAGGGACCTGTCATTCTGTTTTCCAGCCATGGTTCACTGACACAAGTATAGTTATGTTTTTGAGTTTTAGGGCTCTTGCAGCTCTGTATTCTGACTGCTCTAATATGCTTATATTTTTACAGCTAATTCTAGGCCACAATGGCCAAACCAGGATTTTCCAATGCATTTCCAACTTGGCATTAGCAGCTCTGGATATCATGTGCGTGTGTCTCAGAAATCAATAAGGATTTAATCTGAAAAAAGGAAACATGAAAATCAGAAGATGGTATTCTATCTCCATTTGTTTGACCAGACATTACTCTTGGCACAGCTAGCTTATTGGCACCTTGTAAATGTTCACTGAAACATTGACAACCTGGAGTATGATAGGTCACTTGAACTGTCACCAACTTGGGCACAGACTTATTTAACTTGTGAGGTCAAGCTCTGTAATGGGAAAAGAAGATGAGTTAGCCCTACTTCTATATTGATTGGAGCAAAATTTCATTAAAAGCATCTAACAACATCTCATCAATGCTAATGTAAACAACCTAACGAAACTCTTTGGCTCACATACACATACAAAAACAGTGAAAGTAGAAGGAGGACCTAGTTCAGGAAAGAAAGGAGATTGGAAGGAGTGAAGGGATAATGAAACACGGTAACTAGGGGATGAATATCATCAAGATAAACTATATAAATATATGAGTGTGCCACAATGAAGCCTATTAGTATGTATAATTAACATATGCCAATAAAAACATTTTAAAAATTGAGCAGTGCCTTATGTGTGTCTTGTTATAGCCTCTCTATATCTCTATTGCATCTCTTTACCTGGAAAATTCTATAGCTCTCTATTGAGAAGCAGCAGAATACAAACAGAGGAAAATTTTATACTTGCACTTAAATATTTTAGCTATTGAGGAACTACAGTGTCAGAATTATCAGCCAGCCTGCACTCAACATATTTTAAAACCACACTCATTATAACCAGAGGGAAGAAATTTTATTAAAATTCAATTTGTTAAAGTACAAATATCTTTGTTCAACTTACGTTGGAAGTTTTCAAACTAACATATAGTAGTGTGGTTTATAAGCATCTCTCTGGATTTTGTTGGTTGCTTTGCTAGTTAACACTACAAAGTCCCTTGAAAAGAAGATATCATATAAATTCTAAAATGAAACATTTACTTGAAAAGTTACCTTCTTAAGCACGTTTTCCAATATTTCACCTTACAGATTTTTAATTAATAGAATCAATGCAAATCATAATTTAAAGCTATAACACTACTCAAATAGCCTTTCTGTGTTTTCAATTTTAAGAAAATGTAGTTTTTGTAATACACATATCCTTACCATTTGCGATTGGATAAATATGACTATTACATTAACAGAAAAGTTTGTACATATGTGATGAAACGCTAGAACTGATTACACACATTAAACATTTTTGTGATTCTATATGCTAGTATTATGTGTGAACGCCTCAATTTTAATAGTATTTAGAATTGTTTTAAAATTTAAATTAATGGAAGGTGTTTACAGAGAACACATCAAATGTTTAAGTAGAATATTAATATCTATACAAGTGAGGTCCTCACATCCTGAAGCTGAAGTCACAGTGTTTATCAATATGATATTCACTGTTTCAGTATATAGATTGCATATGTAGCATTATGACATTTTACTGGAAAATAGTCTAACAACACATGTCATGGAATATTAAATCTATATGCATATTCTGGCAGATAATTGTTGAAAATAGTAGGTTTGTGAAAATTCTGACATAATGTGATTACTATAGCAAATTATGTCAATGAACAATCTGCTGCATCCTTGACACAGAAAACACTTTCTTCTTAACAAATGTTAGTTATTATTTAGCTATATAAGACATTGTTTGAATAAGGCAGAAAACTGGACTTTATTCTTAAAGGTTCATTCTCTTACATTAAGTGACTCAAGATGGTAGAGTATTTTCCAAAAATAGAAAATGTTTTTAATTCTCAGATTCTTACATGAAAATTGTTAGTGCTTTTATCATTTTCATATATTGGTCACTATCAAATTTTTATGAAGTCTTTTAACAATTATGGTAATGAGGCCAAACATTGCTTCTTCTACCATTATATAATAAACTGGGACAGCACATATACTTGTCACTCACATGTAATTCATGTTTAAAAATTGTTTTGGCCTTAAAAATAAGCAATTCCAACAATACAGGAAATTGACAAATTGGCACTTGAGTTTGGTTATGAACTTCATAGAACACCATATTTTTCCACTCTTCATTCTCTAAACGGTCCTATTTGATCCTGTTTGGTAACTGATTTTAGTGTAGCTTCACAACCACGACACATGCCCCTGCTCTTCCAATGTTGACAGGAACTTCCTAAGACAGAAATAAGAGATTAAACATTATTATTACATTTTAGCATTACACAGAATGTTCGACTTAAAGTAATCTTTACCTATTTTGGTCCAATTTTTATCTTTCTAAAAATAAGTAGAACTGCAGCTCCAATCACTATAGTGAAGTGGGACGATTACAGACTTTAGAATGATAATAGATGTCCGTTGTAGGATCATTTGGTTTTGGATAGCTTTCACCTTTTTCAACATTTTCTCAGTTGAAAAATTGGAGTTATTAATAATTTTCAAGGATTTTATGAAGGTTATATGAAATTAAAAACCACAATAATTTGCCACAAATAATCATATTCCTACTCTTTTATTTTTCTTTTACTTTTTGAAAGATCACATAGTGAAACAGTGACGGAGACAGGAGAAGAATCTAGTCTCTTAGATACTTGCCTACAAAGAAAATACTTGGTTATGCTGCACAGAGGAATACTATAAAATTGATTAAAAGAATTAAAATTTAAAATATGCCATTAAGGCCTGAAATATAATAATCTGAAGACTTTTACGAGAGTACCTCTTTCCATTCGTCTTTCTGAGCATCGTATGATTCAACAGTATTCAAATAAGTGTGTCCATCATATCCGCCCACCACATAGAGTTTGTCTCCAAGGGGGCACACAGCAACAGCATCTCGAGGAACACTCAGCGGTGCCACAGTTGACCATGAATCACTTTTAGGATCATATCTTAAGAGATTTTGGAGGATAATTGAGATGAAAATAGAGTAAAGGCACAATGAAAAAATAAAATGCATAGTTTTCTCAAGTGCAGAATTAAAATCAGTGTAGCTATCAAATATGGGTTTTCTAATATCTACCAGTAATCTCCGGCAAGTATATATTTCTTTATTTCAGACCATGTATTTTTCCCTAAGTTTAATCTGGTATGCATTTTTATATCTTTCATGTCTCTGCTTATTTTTTAAAAGTAAATATAACACAACTATGAAAAAAGTTTAAAAAAAGTTATATATACATGTGCAGATATTTTAACCATAATAATTAAAATGTAATTCACAGAATTTTGAGGAACTAGGGAATGCACAGTAGTAGGTGGGAGGGGTGGTAGAAATGAGGTAAATACATTATTCGTATGAAATTCTCAAAGAAAAATATACATGGTAAAATTTTCTTCAACCACAAGGGGTCTCTCAAAGCATACTTAAAGCATTTCCTTTTCTTAGAATGCTAAATTTCTTTAGTCTATACTGACATTCTCTGAGGAAGTTTCACATTTTGGGATCTAAACATTATGTAAAAAGTGTACCCACATTCATTTTTTATACAATTTGGATATAAAATCATTTGTGGTAAATTTATCCAAAGCTTTGAAGTTTATTTTAAAAAATTATGTCTAAAAAGTGTAAAAAATTAATAAAGTTCATATAACCATACATGGGATGCTCTCCAATTGAAAACTGACTTATTTCTAAAAACACATTAAAATATTTTTGTAATGTATCACTTTCTACTAATTTAAACACTTTTAATATTTTATCTCATCTTGTATGTGAATTTGACATCATATCCAAGAAAAATTTAATACTATATGAAAATGACAAGATAAGAAATATATCTGTCATATGTTACTCTGTGTTCTTTACAGTATCATCTTAAATTATTATATTACTTCAAGTTCTAGAAGAAAAAAACCCATTGTTGATGATCTATATTCTGGATCATCAAAAACGATATTGTTAATTGAGGTTGCACTCAATTAAGTCAAGTTGCAAACATACAAATGGACAATCAGAGCTCACAAAGGGGTTTATATTCAAACTCAGTTCTTTTCTGTACATGCATAAAGCTCAAAATATTATCAGGATATTACTAGATTTGTGGAAATGCTGAAATTTTTTTCATTATTGGCACTACTGAAAATTGAACCTACGTCCTTGCTTATCTCTAATACTTGCCTCTAGCATGACCACTTACTATACCCCTGGTTCAGAAAATATTAATTTTTTTTTTGCTGAAGACAAAGTTATCAATATATTTATAATCTGTGAAGACACACGGTGCTAAATATCAAATAACAGAGGCCAACACATCATATTAAATTAAAGCAGCACCATTTCTCTCCATGCTTTTTTTTTTCAGTCTACTTATACCTCGGTTGTCATTATATATATAGTGGGAAAAAATTTACCCTGAAAACAAGAGAATTATTTAAGAACACATTCTGTACATGACAAAATAATTGGGGATACTTTATTGACTTCTTGGACTCAAATTTTTTCATTAACATTAGAGAAAAAAATAACCATGAGTGAGATGATTTGGGAACTTTCTCAGTTAAATGCTTACATTTTAAATAACATGTTTTGAGCTTTATGTATGGATAAGGGAATCCCATGGTTATAGGTAAGTCAACAGTATTTAACAAATAATAGTGTCAGAAAACATATGTTTTCTCAATTACTTTTTTTTTATTTCAATGGCTTTAATTTTGTATGTGCTTTAGAACAAAAATTTCATCTGACTTTTATGTGTCTACAAAGTAGGAATTCTAATTGTTTTGCAGATTTCCCTTCCATGATTTCTTGTGAGATCTGATTATATATTTATCATTTGTTGATAAGTTATTATTTTAAGTATTTTTTACATGTATACATTATTTACTTTGCAATAAAATGGAGACAATACAATTACATAGCTGCATGACCCTCATTTTAAACAATTAGCACTCTATTTATTACCTGAATGAATGTCTTCCATTCTAGGAACCTAGATTTGGGAGTTTGTTTCAATAGAGTCATTATTCAGAAAAAATTAGTAACAATTTTACTCATAAATTCGTTACGTTTTTAGATAATAAAGTTTAATTCTTCTGAGGATTGAATTGAGTTTCAAACTAGCAAATTTATTACTGTTGTTGTTTTTGTTATTCTTTAAATTATTTATTTAATTTTATTTTATGTGTATGAGTATTATGCCTGCATGTGTGTAACTGCACCTATGTCGTGCAATGCCCACAGAGGACAGAGGAGGGTCTCAGATCCACTGAAACTGAAGTTATGGAAGGTTGTTAGCCACCATGTGGGTGCTGGGATTTGAATCAGGGTCTTCTGCAAGAGCAGCCAGTGCTATTAACCACTGAGCCATCTCTCCAGCTCCAGAAATAGTAAATTTAATTTGATTTGATTCTGAAGTCCTGACTGATATATCTTAGTATAAACTATCTTTACCCTCTTATGTCTTTTGTGTCATTAAATTATAGTGGGAATAACAAACAACTGTGCATCTTATTTCATACATTTAGGCTACATTCAGTACCTTAAAGAGTTTTTCAATTTTTTTTGTCTAATGATAAGTATACAGTGTTACAAAGAACAAAATCTCTTAAACATTAATATATCAGAATATCACATTCTGATTTAAAAAACCTTCCTCATTTTTGAAAAAAATACATAAATAATTACATTCATAAATAGAATCAATTTACCTTTCCACACAGCCAGAAAGCCTGGAGCAATGGTTAGGAGCAGGGGCATCATGACCCCCTACAACATACAAATATCCATTGTGTGTTGCTACTCCCACACCTCCACGTCTTTTGGACATTGGGGCACACAGACTCCACTTGTTAGTGTGTGGGTCAAAATACTCCATTGATTTGAGACAAGAACTTCCATCACGTCCACCAATAGCATATAACCTACAAAAGTGTGCCAGTAAATACATATGTGTGTACATTAACACAAAATTCATGCACAGGTACAGGCAAATGATACATGGAAATAAAGGAAAAGAAAGAACCTGAAATAGAGACAGTAGGGAACAGATGTTATCTGAGGGAAGTGGAAAAATTGTGAGTAATCGGCAGAGAGGAGGGGAGGGAAGGACATGCAAGGGACATGCAAGGGACCAAGGTGTGGGGGAGGGAGGGAAGTCAGGAACTGAAAGATGGCGGGAGTTAGGACATATTGAGGGGAGGGTGGGAATAATGGGGTCACTGTGACTAGGAAGGGAGGGAGGAAGGAGGCCAGATGGGTGAAAGAAGAGTAGAGATGAGTAAAACTGGGGGGGGGGTGGAAACAGAGGGAAAAGTGATGCCCTAAAACTCCTATGAGAAATGCAAGTATATTGTCTGAACATTAATGCATATGTATATCTAGGAGCTTCTTAGAAGGGAGCACATGGCGAGATAGAAGAGACCTCCCTCAGAGCAAATAAAATGCCATACAGCACTCATCAAAGAAACTTCTTTTTGCAACAGATGGAGGCTACCACAGAGAACATACATCTGGGAGTTGCCTGGTACTAGGTGACTCATCTGAAGTTGAATTCCTACAACCAAGGCTCATGGAACACAGAAATAAAGGGTAGAGAGAGGGATAATGTACTCAACTCTCACCAGTGAGGCTTCCACGTACATCAGAGTGAGATACACACAGAAGGCCACAACTGCCAAGTTGAGGAAAATAAGAGACTGTTGAGTGTAGGATGGGACTCCTATATAGAAGTTCAACAACCCAGGGCTCATGGACCATTCCACAAACATTGTAAGAGCCAGGGCTGGTTCATGAACGTATGAGGTGGAGGCTTCCTGGCCAATGGGGGCTTGCTTATGCATGCCTGTGGTAACGGTGGCATCCAACCAGGACCCAGGTCAGCTTAATTAAACAAGGGCACAAAGGGGAGGTGAGAAATAGGTGCAGATCAGCACTAGATCTAGAACTATTTGAGACTGGCTGCTGCTGGGTGATGGAGAGTAAGACTTACATATGACCACTTAACTAGACTCCAGTGGGCACATTTATGCTGAAGGAAATTTGGGTACAAACACCTGAATGAATAAGACTCAGCATGTATGGCAGACTGCATAAGGTTCGATGGGGGAGGGGCACGGATGGGGGAGGGGATCTAGATGTTAGTGGGAAATATTATATGAAATTTTAAAAGCTCAATAAAAAAAGGAAAAAAAGAAAATGGAAATATTTTAACTTCCTCAGCTCTGATTGTATTTACTATTCCCTCACTATTTTGCAGAAGAAAGCTTGGGTTGACATCTGTTAAGCTCTAGCATACTCCAAACATTCCTCTTTCAACTTTTTAAAATAAATTTGACATAACACTGAAAATTAGGTGTAGAAGGGCAAAGACATCAATGGTTTGGCACAACAGTGTCAATAATCAGCTCCAATAAGCTTACAGTTACAGAAGGTCCAAATGCTTAGCTTCAGAATCTCTATTATGTAGTAACTTGTTTTGTATGAAAATATTCTGTCACTAAGAAAACGGTAACATAATATCTAGCTTAAAAACCTGGATCACATCTAGAAGATGGTTTATTTTTAGGAAGAAAAATGAATTATCTCACTTCTCTCGGTAACTTAAAATATCAATTATTTTGATAGACAATGATTTAATCTAATTAAAATTTAATCCTGAAACAAAAGATAATATATTTATACTATAGCACTCTTCCATACTGAATTGTGAATAGGAGAAACTCTAAAATGAAATTACATGAGTTGCAGATGAGGATTCAGCTTGTTGTGATATATGTATGGAATATGAAACTGAATTACTTGACTTCAGTTAGAGCAGTCACAGTAAGTTAAGATATAAGAAGACTCCAAATATTGTGACCATGGATCTTGGCTTTGCTGTAAATATTTCCTATGCATTTTTATGTTAAGTTCTAAAATCTATCTTTGTTAAATTTCTACTGAGCTCATTTGTATGATCCAATATTGACTCTATGCATAGCCAGAGTACAAAGTCATATAGTTGTTCTTGATACTGATTATCCCATTTTTTGAAATTCTTATCATGAAAGCTATCCTATATGCTACCTTCAGAGTTTCTATGTCAAAAACAATATAATTGTGTGGTACTCATTCAGTGTATGGAAACACCGCCAGATGTAGTTTGCTACCTTGCTCTTACAAGGAATTAATAATGAAAAAGTCAACATTAAGAAAGTGAAAATCAGGTGGACTCGAATACTTGTGAATTCTGAACTCCCAGAGAGGGAATTGCTGAGCAAATCTTCCCTTCTTGTAAACACAGACAGACACATGTTTGTATAAATCAAGAATCAAAACTAATGTAAAATGTGACACTACTGTAAGGAATACTGGAACTTATTGTCCAAAATGTGTTTTTCTCTTTATGTGAATATATTTTTTGCAGAGGTTCTTGGTAAAATGCATATTAGCTGGGTGTAGTGACGCATGGGATTAATTCCATCATCCAGGAAGCAGAGGCAGGTGGATCTCTTTGGGATCGAGGCCAGCTTAGTGTACACATCGAGGTCCAGGCCAGCTGGGGTTATAGGGAAGTTGTATCTCAGAAGATATTATGACTATTCTGTGCCAGGGCACATTCCACATTGTGAATTCAGTCCCTATAAATGCTGATATTTCTGGTCTCAAAATGAGGAGTCTGAAAGATATTTAATTATTGATTTTAGAAAAATTATTCTATCATAATTAATGGGATTTTCTATTAAATGACTTTTGCAATTTCTAAGAAGGATGTCCTGATTATTTAGAAAGATTAATGGCTTATTTTATAGAAATCTTAAGCCACATCATCTGGGAGCAAATAGTCTGTGTGTTTGAACTTACTTGTTGTTTAATGCAACAACTCCAACCGTGCTTCTAGGAGTTGACATACTGGCCACATAATTCCACTGACGTCCCTCAGGATCCCATCTTTCTACAGTATTTAGATAACTCCATCCATCATGACCTCCAACAGCATACATTGGTCCTTCAAGTGTCGCCACACCTAAATGACACAATAGTATGAGAGCTTACCTAAGTATACCTCACACAATGTACAAAATGTAATGACACTTTGCAAGCATTTGGCTGATTAAAAATTGTATAATTCCTGAAACAGTTTTTATAGATATGAATAATTTATTGATTCAGATATGAGGCTAAATACGGTTTTCTTCACCTAAGAAATTTTTAGCTATAGCTATATATTATGGGGTATTATCATTGTTGTATCATTAAAGTCAACAGAAGAAGTACAATGCACTACTAGATAGGAAATTACATTTTTCTAGCACAATTCCAATACTGCTTTTAATGCAAGGATTATATAAGATAGGATATTTAATATAAAATAAACTATTTCTAGGCTGACTGTGGAAGGGTGTTTTGATTTGTATTTAACTATACAGTTATAATTATTTCCATAAGATATTTAACTAGACATCTAAATTTGAGTTTTATCTGGAAGGTTTTTTCTTTCTGTTAGATACTATGAATGGCACTTTTCTGCTTCTTATGATTCATAGAATTGTCTTTTTCATTCATCTTCTTCAACTTAATCAGCTTCATAGTGTTTTTTAAGCTTACCTCACATATGTCTTAACTAAAATCAATTGCATTGCACAAAATGCTTACTTTTATTCCTCTACATGCCATAGATATACATAATTACATTGACATAACTGATAATTACTATACTATGTTTTATTTAAATTTATCAAAAATTATTGAGACAGATGAGGAGAAAATACAAGTTCTAGAACTGCTGTTAGCCCTATAAAAGTTTACTGTGTGAACAGGAAATACGGATCAGTTGTGAAGAGTGGGTAGTAATCTTGCAGAAGATGAGGAGTTCGGTCTCTGGTGTGCAAGTAGGATAATTCACAAGTGCCTGTAACTCCAGCTCCGGGAGATTCAGTGCATTCTTCTGACATCCCTGGGAACCACACTTGTGCACACACCCTCACATAGATGCAATTAACAAATATATTGTAAAATGTCAATATTTCTGTTTTTCAAATACCGTATGGTTTAAAACACATGAAAATTATTTCGAAGAAAAAGATAACTGATATTCAGTAGAATCACGGCTCCCCACTCTTCTACACATCTCTCCTCTTCCTTAAACTGGAAACTCATGGCTCAATTATATTATAGTGGTCTGCTCAACCAAAGTTGTAAACTTAAATATATTTACCTTGGGCATGCATCTTCCATTTTTAATAAATGCAGATTTTCTTGTGGGAAGACACATGATTATTCTAAGTAGAACTACAATGTTTTACCATCAAGGATTCTACACTCTCAACTGAACTCTAAGAATGTTCTCTGTGGTCTTTTATGTTCCTCTATAAATGAACCCTTGCAAAAATTTTTATTTTTCTAAAATGAAAACCTTCCCAAATCTTGTAGATTGGAAAAAGGATTAAAATATGACATTATGCTACACTATGGATGTACATAGTGTTTTCAAGTTTACTTAAACTTTGCAGAATTTTGTTGACATTGTGTTAGTTTGAACAAATCCATATAAAGTGCAGCTAGATTTAATTTTAATTGTCTTACTATACATTTTTGAGAAATGATACAACATTGGTATCTTACCTAGCCCATGCCTATGTGTTGACATAGGAGGCATTACAACCCAGGTTTTGGTAACTGGATTGAAACACTCCACACTATTCAAAGTTTTTAATCCATCTCTTCCTCCCACCACATAAAGTTTATTATCAACAACTGCAACTCCAAACTGAAGTCTTCGGCCACTCATAGTGCCAATATGTATCCAACTATTAGTCCTGAGGTCATATTTCTCAATTGTAGTGGTACCTGTTAAAGACATAATAAACAATGGTAGAACACAATTAAGTAAAAAGTTTGAATTAAGTAAATTCACAGTGTATGTTATACTCATTACTGAAATCGTAGTACCAGTGAGTAAAGCTCAAATTAAATCACACAGCACAGCTCAGGAAGAAAGCAAGGTATGATACCAGTACAACTTTTGTATTAAAATGGAAGACTCAGAATAAAATATTTTAATATATATGGCTTATGTCATCATAATACCATTTTGAGACTAATTTAAAATATAAAATATATTAAAAAATTATCTTCGTGGCTATATTACTAACAGTTCAAATGCAGGTTTTAAATATTTCTACAGTGTAAAAACCAGTATCTTGGGTTCATTATTAATACTTATATTTTAAACTTCTTTTTTTTTTTTGAGACAAGGTCTCCCTATAGCCGCAGTTGGCCTGGAACACACTATGTAGAATAAGCTGAACTTCACCTCACAGAAATCTGCCTCTGCCTCCTGAGTGCCGTAACTAAAGGCGTGTGCTACCATGCCTGGCTTGAACTTTAAATTATGATGACCTTTCATTACTCCATTTTTTTGTCTTTTTTCAGTTTAAGGAATTCTTTGGTGTGCACGTGTGGGTGCGTGTGTGTGTGTGTGTGTGTTGCTTTAAAATGGATTATATGTTAGTCGATGGCTAATCAGGAAGGAAAATGCCTTTCAAGTGGGTTTCTTATAGTCTTTCACAAAAGATTCCAAGGCGGTTATGTGAAAAACTTTGGCTAAAATATAGAATTCTGAAGTATTTCATCATTTTTGAACATAAAATTTCATCTTATTTTCCACTGCTGAAGTACCAAGTTTGAGAAAATAGCATATTCTAACCGCCACAATGCACATACCAACTGTTTAATATACTTTCTTTTCTGTGGGCAATGCTTATTATCATTCACTCATATGAGAGGACGGTTAATTTCTAGGTAAGTTGATTGCACAATTGCACAATGGTTAGGCTTCTGATGACTAACGAACTAGGAATGGAAAACTAAGCTATACTAAATATTAAGACTATATAGAAAGTAATGGAAAGGTAATAAGTCAGGAAACTGGACAAGGCTATATTAATTAGCTATTGCACAAAATGAGGTTAAAAGATGGAGATATCTGTCTTGTACCAGGTTAATTTTTCCAGGCATTAGATCAGCTAGAGAAGATAAAATTGTTATATTTCATTACTACACTAATGAAAGTAGTGAATAATAGTTTAGTATATTGAATTATACAGGCTTTTTTATACATCTTCACAGATATTTTAATCATCCAAATTGCAAATTCTCTTTGGTTTTCAAAGAGAACTTACTAAAGAGCTTTACGTTTATTGAGAAAAAAATTAATTACATCTTCACTGGTCTTTTCCTTTATAAATTTCCATGTAAATCAACTTTCTGCAAAGAATATTACAAATACTACTTACATTTTATTTCTAAGCCTCTAGTCAATCTTTATGATTTAACCCTGAATAATAGCATTTCTAAAAAAATTATAGTTCTTGAAATTGAGAATACATGGTACTTATTCATTCCCCTTAACCATGGGAAAATTATGAAAAATGTATTCACCTTTATTTTCTCCTCTGTCATGCTAGTTTTCAGAAGACACTATTCTTAATAAATAAAAATTCTGAATACCTTGTACACACAGGAACATCACAAGTTTACCATCCAAAAAATTAAAGTAATTATAGTTTTCTGCTGATTCATATAATACATTATAGCAGTTATAGAAGCTTCAGCCATTTGTGTGCTGCCCATATTTGATGAACTAATTCTATATTTATTGCTTGAGTCAGGGAGAAAATTAAAAACTGAAATACTGTTATTTCCTAGACATCTAAAGTCACCATTTCAAAAACCATCTTACAATAAATGAAACAATAGACTATAAGGAAATATATTTATGTATTGTTTATAGTAATGCAAAAATTACATTGATAGCGGCTTTTTAAAACTAATGCTGATTTATATAAAGAAGTGTTCCTGTTCAACTTCATGTGTTACTTAGATTTTTGTATGAAGCTCCTTGCTGATTCATTGTTGTTGTTTCTAATTGCTTACCCTAGATTTAATAGTGTCTGAAACCTCAAGAAATAGGGAGAATTTTGTTCTTCTTTTTTTCTAGTATAGTGAAAATATAGATAAAGGAACATTGGCTTTGAGTAAGAATTTATGTGATAGAATTTCTAGAGGTATGTCCTTGGTTGACCACCTAATCCTTAGATGTACAATGCATACCCTCTGTTCTAACATTGTGGTCAGAATTAGACAATGTTTGCAAAATACTAATCAAGAATCAATCAGGTATTCTAGCATGCCACTTTTCACTATTCGCCCAGCAGCCTGCAACTTCCCATGCAACATTTTATGGTATTTCCTCCATATAATAAGAGCTCAAAGTTCTCATAATGAAAAAGCCATGTTACATCCTGATACTGAATTTGTGACAATAAAGTCCGTGCATGTTTATATTTCATTTACATTAACAAACAGGAATGAAATTGTGAATATTTATAACCAATTTTTGTAAAGTATTTTTCTTAAAGATAACATAGACAAAAACTTGAAATGACAGAAATAGAAACAAATGTACAACATACACAGTTACTGTTTTTAACAAAGCACAGGATCTTTAAAGAAATTAAAAACTAGTCCCAGTCTATACAGCTCACAAGTAGAATATTTGTCTAGTAAATGTAAGGCCCTTACTTTGATCTCTAACACTAAAAGAAAAAAAATCACAGGTAAAAATAACTATATTTGTGCTTTGCACTTAGCACCTTTGCTTTCTCAACTAAATAACAGGAAACCTTCTAGCATGCACTTAATATTTTTCTATTCAATGTAATACATCCAGGTATGGTGCTTTATGCATGTAACTCTAGCACTTAGAAGTCTTAGACAGAAAGTTTGTCATGAATTTTAGACCAGCTCAGGTTAGAGAGTACAGCCCTGTCTCAAAAACCAAAAAACAAAAACAAGAAAAAAAACAAAACACTAAAGTATCAAGGTGTCAAATGTAAAATTAATTATGAGGTCTTACTCTTGATTTTATTTATTTTTAATAAACAGTTTATTGAGAATATCATGTACGCTTATAAGGTGTTCTGATCAAATCCATGTCCACTCCCTCCCCTCTAACTCTTCCCATATCTCCCCACCACTTTTTTCTGATAAATTCATGTAGTTGTTCTTCTACTTTGATTTATTTATTTTTATGAGGTTTTTGGCTACTCTAATATCATGCTCCCCCAAAGAGGTGACCCTAAAATCTTTTAAGGATTAGATACAAACTCCCAAATACATTCAACATTTTTGGCCTTTGGAACAGAGTAGGATGCTAAGAGGCCCCAAGGACATTTTGACTTTTAGCCAAGAAACTGGCTACTTTTCTTGGCAGTTTTTTACCCCAACTGCCTATCCAGTTCCTACCTCCTATTCTTATCACACCATCCTCTGAAGAGGTTACACAAATTGCCAATAGGGAATAGCGATGCAGACCATTCTGTCTTCTTCCATGCTGAACAGGGACACAGGGTGAGGCAATTAGAGTACCCCTTCATTGGTCTATATAAAAGATTCCCAAATTGCATAACTCTTATCTCTTAAGGGGAAAAGAAAGTCTTTGAAACATGACTACGAGATGTGAAGGAGAAGTAAAGGCAAGGATAGTTAGCATTACAAGTTCTAGCCAGAGAACTAGAAAAAAAGTCAGAGCAGGGCTGTTTTCAAATGTTCATATGAGAGTCCATTGGAATTTCTTGACAAGGGCTTCCAAAAGTATCCCTCTATTAGGTTCGTCCTCATATTTCTTTTGTCTTCCAAGACTGGAATCTACAGTGATGGATTCAGAATTTGCTTTCAAATATTTTGATAGCTGTTGGAGTGGTTAGAATCAGTGTCAGTTCCCTCTCAAAGACTTCTAGATAGGAGGAAAAAACAAATTTATTCATTATTTTAGAACAATAACTGGTTGTCTCCCTTAGCTACAGGTGTGCACTACAGTATTGAAGACCAAGATTTGAGGTCTTATATCTGAGCAGCACTTTCTGGTTAGGAACAAAATCATCATGAGAAATAATTGTTTAAATAAATTTTTATATAGACTTAAGCCTAATGTGTGGGAAATGGAATCCCTTGAACTTTTAAGGAAATATACTGATGACTTTACTCTTTGATTTTACTTTCCTTTTGGGTGTTTAAGATCATACAGTTGTCCCAAATAAATCAATTTATTTTTACATTAAGGTCATTTGAGGATCTGTTCCTCAGGGGTCACATGGACTTGGGAGGAGCCCCTGGCTCCTTTCTTTTACCAGATCCATCTATGTGAAGATAATTCAAAGGTCCTGTTCAACCATGTCTTGCTTCAGTTGGAAGCATGATTGAGATGCTTCCTCTGAGTTGACCCTCCTCTTTTTTGACTGGACACTAGTTCAAGTCTATCTCATGGGGTCTCCATGTCCTCCTTGAACAAGAGGACTGGTGACTCACCACAGTTACAGGACATTTTGAGAGATGTTCCATAGTCCCCTGGAACTTAGTCAACCTTGGAGGGCAAGAGGTAAACTGTCCTTTAAGTCCCTCAGACTGCAATAGTATATGCTCAAACTATGGGTGTTAAACATCCAATAAGGTTAGTTCCACCAGTCTGGTACTTTCAATCATCGTGCTATATAGATAAGGCTTGGGTAAAAAATCAAATATTCTCAGAAAAACCTTGACTAGATATATATTTTGTTCCTTAAACTAGTTGACTAAACTATGACCGTGAAAATTTTAAGATTATGTGTATATTATTATTGTTTCATCCTTTATATATCAAAACAAACCTAAACATGCCTTCATCACTTGCTTAAGCTTTCTCATTTTTCTCTATTTTGGAAAATATCTCCGTTCACATATCCTTTAAACATCTTTTACATTATTATTTTCTTTTTTTAAATAATTATGAGACATAATAGAATTAACAA